TGAGAAGGAAGAATAAATACCCACAGAATGTTTTGGCTATAATTACTTCATTTAAAGGAAAAAAAAAAAAAAGATTATAATGTGCTGAATTCAGTTTGCTAAAGTCAAGACATTAATATTTTTGGCATATAAAGATGTAAACCAAATGTTCAACTGAAATGTCATCCCCCAGCTCGCGTTTGCCCGCTGCACTCCAGCACAAACCCTCCACAGACCCTCATACAATACACATTTTTCAGTTCATTGAAGAAGGCCCCTGCTGCTTCTCAAGGAAAACTAACTTGGAGAAGCAAAATAAATACTGGCGTGGCAGTGCGGCAGCAGAGCCTCGCGAGCACAGATGTGCGGCATTGTCGGCTTTTCAATCAGATAAGGAGCATTCAGACATAATCACCGCAGTGTCTGGGACAGGGTGCGTGCTACAGAGCTGCCCAAGTATGGCCCGACAGACACATGCAGCGTGTGTTCAGGCTAAATGGCAACAAGCTGACAGGATTTCATAACAGTCCTGTTATGTCTAGATAGGCAAATGTTTGTGTAATTTAGCTCGGCCTTTGAAATGGCTTCAGAAATGGGGACACAAATAGAGCTTTGTGATGAGTTGTTGATGATGGTGTTACCTGCTGGATGGTGATCTTGGCCAAAGGGATGTCACGACCAAAGGGGCATCCTTGAGGTGTCAGGACCATGATGGGCTGCAAGAGGCATCACCACAGAGCTGCCCATCATCCCTTCATCTGCCCAGCCAACACAGGGCTGCTCCTACATATATAAGAACATGGTGGCAACTTCAGCTGTGGGCCCTGGGCCTTGCTGAAGTATTGTCTCATGTGCTTTTAGATGAGACACTTTAAAACAGTGAAGAGCCTTCATTTAACCCTACAGAAATAGAGCTCACTGGTTCTGTGGTAAGGCCTGTTAAGCTACACAAACTATCTCAGGAGGGGAGAATTTAACTTACATACAAGGCATCATTTTAAGTAAAGAAATATTGATGGGGCGGGGGGGGAACAAGTATTTTTTTAGCTCTAATTTATGGCTGAGCAGCTTCATTTTAGTTACTTCATGGGAATATTTTAAACCAAGCCTGCATAATATTAAAATAAGTTAAAATGTATGTAAAATTTATGAGAGCATGTCAGGTGCAATGCTTGATAAAGTAAGTTTAATGCCTCGGAATCTTTTTCTTCAGGCACAGAAAGCTGAATCCTGCAATTCTAGGTTACAGTATAATTTTAGAAACTCTTTTCCATTAGACCATTCTTTTATTAATGAGAGCCAACCCAATTTAACGAAGAGGGAAATTCCTGAAGAGTTTGTGGAAAGTCCTCAGCAGGTTGGAAGCTGGGTGTGTGATATAAGAGGGTGTTTTCCTGCTGCTCATAGGGTATAGCCAATTGGATAAACACACAGAGGAAACCAATTTACAACAAACTTTGGAGACTTCAGAGCAGCCTTCCAGTATCTGAAGGAGGGCTACGAGGATGCTGGGGAGGGACTCTTCATTAGAGACTGTAGTGACAGGACAAGGGGTGATTGGTTAAAACTTAAACAGGGGAAGTTTACATTGGATATAAGGAGGAAGTTCTTTACTGTGAGGGTGGTGAGGCACTGGAATGGGTTGCCCAGGGAGGTTGTGAATGCTCTATCCCTGGTGGTGTTCAAGGCTAGGTTGGACAGAGCCTTGGGTGACATGGTTTAATGTGAGGTGTCCCTGCCCATGGCAGGGGGGTTGGAACTGGATGATCTTAAAGTCCTTTCCAACCCAAACCATTCTATGGTTCTAGGAAACCTCTTTTATGTGTGCCCCTTCAGAGTGTTTTTTCTTCTGCCTCACTCTGTGACCAAACAAAAGCTTTGGCAGCTGTACATCACTTGGAAAACTCTTCATTTACCAGGAGTGTGTCATGTTGTTTCCTTGTGCGACACTCCCAATCGTCGTGACAGAGCTAAATGACAAAGTACTGTCATTCCCCCCCCAAAACACTCCTTGAAAATTCAGAGCAGCCCCTTTCCATTTCTTTCCCTGCTCACGGGCATGCTCCTGAACTGGGACAAAGGAGCAGCAAACAGGGGAGCTGCCTGCAGCCTGCTCCAGTGTATTAAACACCCAGCTCCCCAGCAATATTAAATCTGAATTTACTTCCATCAAACAGAAACTTTGCATCTCTCATTCTTCTGTTATAAAATATTGACATCAGGAAGAGTGAATCCTGAAATGAAGATTAGAGATGAAAACTGTGTGCTTGCTAATTATCATTCTTTTTTTTTCATTTGTTATTATTCCTTTCCTCTTGAGGATTGCACAGGCTGTTGCAAACAGTAATGAAGTTAGCATGCAATGCCAGTGTAAAGTGTGCTGCAAAGTTATTCCTTCCCTCATTATAGATGAGGGAAGCGAGGCAGCGGGAGGAGGGTGATTTCCCCAGCCAAACTGGTACACAAGTGGGACAGCCCTCTGTCTCACATCTTAATCATCCTCCCCAGTGATAAGACCCTCAGTGCCATCTTGTTTCTGTTCCCCTTTGTTCTGCTATTTCCCTAGGGTTTTTTAGGGCTTTCCTGGGGCTCAGAGCTGTTAATATCAATGACAATTTTTGTCACAAACCAAACAGCCAGTTCACAAATGTTTTCACTCCCAACAAATCCACTGCCCTGGCTTCTAAGGTTCTCCAGTAACCACAGCACTGAAAAACGCACTTAACAGGCATGAAAACGCCTGACCATTCATTTCAATAGCTGTTCGTTCCTCCAGCCCCTTCTTAAGGCTCATCAACAGGAAGAGTTCAGTGGGTTGGGCAACCTGCCCTAGAATAACCCTTTGGGTTCCTGCACATGGCTTGGGCTGCTTCCCAACAGAAAAGCCATGTCATCTCACCCTGAAATCCCAGCGTGGCCCGTTCACTTGTTTCTGGTTGATGTCTCTCTCTCAGGTAATCACTCAGTGAGGTATCATGCAGCAAGCGCTGGCTCAACATTACCTGGGCATACTCTTGAACCCTGCCTCAATGCCTGTGGATGGTCTCGAGGACTGTCATATATACAGCGTGTGACACCTCGTACTGTATCTGCCTCATATGCTTCTTGCAAAAATCAATCTAAATCAATAAATTGTCCACCCTCCTCATACAGTATTTGCAGAGGTTCAAAGACAGGACCAATTACTCTTAAGGTTGAATTGTCAGGTGTCAGATGAGAATATAGAAGTTGAAGCATTATATTTAGGAACAGATTTATTTAGAGGACCTGAAAAATTTGCTTTGCTATCAACAAGTCTATAAACAGAGCTTTTATAGCGTGTTCTGGTAGAAACTGTGATTGGGTAGAAAGTGATAGGGGTTGTGAATCCTTTTCTTTTTCTCTTCTTTTTGCACAATTCAAATCAGACCTGCATATAAGGATGATGGGGATGGATTCTTCGTTAGGGACTGTAGTGGTAGGACAAGGGGTAATGGGTTAAAACTTAACCACGGGAAGTTTAGATTGGATATAAGGAGGAAGTTCTTTCCTGAGAGGGTGGTGAAGCACTGGAATGGGTTACCCAGGGAGGTTGTGAATGCTCCATCCCTGGCAGTGTCCAAGGCCAGGTTGGACGAGGCCTTGGGTAATATGGTTTAGTGTGAGGTGTCCCTGCCCATGGCAGGGGGGTTGGAACTTGATGATCTTAAGGTCCTTTCCAACCTGAACTATTCTATGATTCTATCATTCTATGATAAAGTAGGAAACTAATAGCCAAGCTCACTGAAATCATGGCTGCAAAGCTCCTGACGTTGAAGGGCTTTTGGCCCTCACCCTTCTTGCCAAGCACACTGCCTTTTTGTTACCTATCTAGATATAGCTGTAAACTCCCTATGCTTCATTTATGTATTATGTTTATATATAATATGTATATATATGTCTTTATCATGCGTTGAGTCTCTTAGGTTCAGTTCCAAAACTGAGAGCCAGGCCAGCCTCTCAGGTCTAAAGATTATGTGTGAGTAGTTTTGTCCCTGCCAGAACCACGGCACACAAATACCACGGCTTATTATAATCACACAAGATGTTCCCAAGTTTAACAGTTCTCATCCCAGAATACCAAACCCCTCTCTTAGCACTCCTGACAAATCAATATGCATTATTATTACGTGCTCAGATACTTCCACGATAGATAACAGATTTCTGCTCATGCCAAAATCTCAGCTAGCTGTTCCCTCGAGTATTTATGCTTGTGTACTGTATTTAACAACAGCCCATTCAAAATGCTCACAGCTCCTAGGAATGAAATGCACATAATTTAGGAATAGCTGCCTGGCTATTCAGGCATCATGCTGTGTCAAGGGAAAATTAAATCTCTGACTCCCCCCTCTCTCATAAAACAAACCTGTAGTTTGCATCATATTTTGGGGAGCTGCATGGAAGTTTCATAAAGAGCCAAGTGAGCGAAGCTCTTTTTCCTGGTTAATGGTTGTGCGTCCCCATTAATGTTCCAAAATGATACAGTAGTTTAAAAAAAAAAGGTCTCAGCATGCATGCATTGTATCACATTAAGAAATCAGGATTTTCTAGGCACTGCACAGCATTAATTACACTGAGCATGCTGCAAATTTCAATTAAATGATATGCCATGTTCTGTTGTAAATATCCAAATGGATTGCAAGATGCAGCCCCATATTTGCTTCTGATTGGCATTTGTTCACTGAACAGGATCAGAAAATCTCTATGATATTGGTCATTATATTTTGTTTAGGAGCATCTGATGCAAACGCACTGTTTTGTTTCCAGCAGTACCTAACAGCACGGGTACAGGTCAGAACTCGTCTGGGCTAAAACAAAAACCCTCCCTCAAAAAGGATATAACACTAATAATAAAAGAGCTAAACTATCCCTGTTTGTCTTCATTTCCCCTTCAGTGGAACAGAACAAACCTGTGTTTCTCTATGTGTTGCATATCTCTACATATTACATATCTCTATGCATTATATATCTCTATGTATTACAATCTGGGGAATGGAAAACACCAAGTGGAAAACAGGGGATGCAGGGACTGAAGCAGGTCAACATGAAGCAAACCTGAGTTTGTTATGTGAGTTAGGTACCTCGGATCCTGTGTAAGCAAATGGCTGTGGGATTCAAATTGTCTCAGCAGAGAAGGGGCTGCTGGAACAGCCAGAGCTCAGGGCAAGACAGGGGTGAGGATGAGCTGTTATGGTGAGGGGAGCCTGCTTTGGTGGTTCAATGAGAAGACAGCAATGGCTGAAAAGAATATAAGCAATGAACAGCAGGTCTGTTAGTATTTGCATTCCTTTTCTTGGCATAGGTATTTCCCCTGTGGTTTTATGATATCAGATTGAGTTGTCAAGATCTCACCACCCTCTGCCCTTAAACAACCGGACAAGGTGTATTCAAGCCCATATTGCTATGTGATTAAATACTAAGGAAATACTTTAAAACTCTGGAGAAAGGATGGCATTTAGTTAATTGTATAGAGAAGGCATTTATAGAAAAGATCTTTATGAAATGATCAACACTGAGCTAAGGACAAGTAAGAGCAAGTCTGAAGGCATGAGGCATAAAGGAGGCACAGCACAGAAGTGTAGGTAGGGCCATGCGGAGGCACCAACATGTCCTCAAACCCAGGATCATCGTGTTCTGTCAACATTACCTTACTTTTTTTGTGTCTTTTGCTTTCAGGACCTGACTCCAGTTTTCCTGGCCCAGGAAACAAAACAGGAAGACAGCCTGATCTACCCTAGAGCACTGAATGGTCATTGAAACCGAGCTCAGGACAGCTCAACCTTGCCAAACTTCTTTCTCAGGTCTTCTGAAGAAGAAATTCCTTTAGAGTGTTCCTCAGCCTCTCTGCAGTATGCTTCTCTGGGTCAGGTTGTGAACAGAGTTGTTAGGAGCTTGTGTGGTAAAGCAGGCTGGCCAGCTGGGCCTGCTGGGGATCCCTTAAAATAACATTTGTCTCAAGCCTTTTCACAGGCTTTTACTGGACCGATTCAGTGTCTCATTTAGGTGTGATGCTCTATGTTCATTCAGCAAGTGGCTGGTGACAGCAAAACCTGTTGTGTGATTATAAGATGGTTGTTCATTCCTACAGCTGACAGCAGCACCACGGTGGCATATTCAGCCTTTAAGACTTGCTTTTCCCTGGGAGCTGCAAGGATGCACTGAAGGGTGTCTAACATTCTCCTGCATCCAGAATGAATTAGGTAATGGTGATCCAGGTGAGGTGGACACCATGAGACAGCCCCTTTCCATAAGTACCATGCACTTGACAGAAACAGGCGGGAGAGAGAACAGCCTTCAGCTCTCTCACCATCAGAAAAGGCAGAAAAAGGCAAGGCAAAGATAGTTTATGTGCAGCTGAGGCAGCTCTCAGAACTGAATGTATCTGTGATTTAATAACACATCTACACAGAGAGACACTTGTAATATTCACTGAGAGAAAGGCAGCAGAGCAGGATGGGGCCACAACCAGCACACAGTGCATTACTTCTGCAACCACAAACAGCTGAACTACCAGGTATTTATTTTTCTGTATGCACAGTTGTTGGGAGAGAATGAAAATTATTCTTTGACACTGCTGATGAAGGCATAGACAGGCCTGTGCTTCCCCCAGCTGCCGTGGTCCTGATGAGAAACAGCTCACAAATTCTAATAAATAGAAAATAGAAATAAATACTTTAACTACATGGCATAAGGTTTTGAATGGCTTTCTGAATCGGAAAGTGCTGCTTGTACGTCTTCGTTACTTCTACACTCTGTAATGCTGGCTCTACAAAAGGCAGAGACAAAGTGAGATAGATACCATGAGGATCGCAGCCACTACACTGGGAAACCAAGTATCAGTGGTACATCCAGATTTATGGTAGGGGATGGCAGTAAAGCGAAAGCAAAACTGTTTGCACAGTCTGTGTTGTTGCCCATTACTGTGTATTTGGCCTTTTTTCTTGCTTAGCTACAGCTGAAGGAATGGAAAATTGTCCCTTATATACAGTATTAGGAGCCACTTTTTGATCGTAAGGTCAATCAGACTAGTTTACCTGCTTGAGGTATTTATGGCACAATCACTCAGTGTCTTTAAGGAAAGGTTAGATACATTTATGGGAAAGGTCTTTTGCAGAAGCCTTCCTGTTTCATAGAGGTCTTGGACAAAATGACCCAGGAGGCCCCTTCCAAGTCTGTCAAATGTGGTTCCTTGATTGATGCTGTTTCCCCCCCAAGTCTTCTGAAAACACCAAGCACTGTTATAAAATTTAATATGATACACTATATAACTCTAACTCAATGCCATTTCCTTATAGGAGATGGTTAGCTGCTAGCACAGGAGCCTTGTGCAGGAGGAAGGAAAGAAGAAAGACAAAATTGCAGTGCAGTTTCTCTGCCAAGGGATATCGACTATAACATTTACACTGTTCCTTACTGTGGACCCTCATCTGTGCAGAATATCATGTCATGGAGGCATATAAGTAACCCTGACTGTAGTATATATTTCTCCAGAAGAACCTAACAGGGCCTGAGGTGATTTTGTGTGCTGTGCAATAGGCATTCCCTCAGTGCTGGAAAGCAAATGGACACCCAGCTCTCCTTATAAATAACTTCTTGGTGCTGTAGTCAGCTGGGCATAATGTGGAGGCCAGAAACAGGAGTGTCCAGCCCCTAGCTCTACCCACAGGGCCTGTCCTCTGCCTGTGCTCTGCAACCCTTCTGTGGTTACAAATGGCCAGAGTGAAGGCAACACAAAACATTTCCAGGTCCACCAAACCAGTGACTGAATCTGTATCCTATTGCTCACTATTATCCTTGTTGTTTTTCCAATTTGAGGAGAGATGTTTTAGCTTAATGCTCCCTAAATTGACTATTTCTTTTTTGCCCTTCAAACTTAACATATTTAAAAGTTTAAGTCAACTGAATTAGGATTCACTCTCAAAACCATTTTACTTTTTACTTTTTTATTTTCACTCCAGCTGATTTACTTAAAGGCCAAACTCCTCTTCCAAAAACCAACCCCCTGTCTTCTTGGGCAGCTCTGTCAGGAAATAACACCACCCATACACACACACTCCAAAGCCTTTTGAAGCCTCACATATGTGAGCTATTCCATTTCGCAGAGCAGACCAGGATTAACTCCTTTATTAACCTTCTAACCTCATCCATGAGAAGGAAAAACAGCCGAACCTCATTTGGAGGCTTGCAGCCTTCTTTACCTAAACACTTGTGAGCTCAAACACCCTCAGATGGGAGCAAAATGAGGATCATTAATGAGGATTTCCCTAAGGAGCTCCCTGATTTTGGACCCTCCCATCATGTTGCACTCAGTGTCAATGGCTATCCCTAAAATCTTCTGTTTTCACTTGGAAATGTTTTCCCATTACCGTGAGGCTTGGGTCTATTTGAATCATATTTATAGGGGCAAATACTGATCTTCTTGTCCTTCTCCACATGTTGCATCAATGTATTTTCCCTGATTTCTACGTCAAAAAACAAGGCACTTTTAGCAAATGACAAATCTGACCTGGCTTGAATCCTGGCAGCGCTACAATTGCTCATCCTTAGCGCTCACTTCATCCTGGCATCACAGTGCAGAGTAAGACACTCACGTCAGGATAGCTCTTCTCACTGGAGTCACAATGGTAAAAATTAGCCTGGGTGAGTGACACGAGCAGAAATTTCAAAGGCAGGAAAATTTATCTCCTGCTCTTTGTCTTACAGTGTGGTGCGTGTTAGTGGTTGGAAGATTTAGCTTCCAAGCATCCCGTATATATAAATCCTAGTGGACAACTGCTCTCCAGCTTCTCTTTTTTGAGCTCAGCAGCTGGAATCTGCCAGGGAATGAGGGCTGAGGTAAGGATGGAGGAAAACTTTACTATGGCCTTCAGGTGTTGGTCAAGGGTCAAGATTAGGAAACAGCTAGAGCAGAACAAAACTCTCTCAGCTACGTCTCCTTACTGTGTTACAGGAGGTCATGGCTATTTGGCATAAGGACTGTGATTTTGGGGCCTGCCTCTCTGCTTTAGCTTAGACCATTAACTGCTTTGATGATACAGTCCCTCTTGGGGTTTCTCCTTCTGAAAGATTTATTCTTGGTTTAACCCTAATACAAATGCTCCACTTTAGATTTTAGGAGGCCAAAACACAAGGAGGAAGGCAAAATACCTCTCAGGTTCCTGGTAAAGGCCTTCAAATACCACTTTGATGAGAACTTTCCAACTGCTCTGCTGAGTAAACAGACACGGAGTAAACAGCTCTAATGTGCAGGGATGGCCCTTACACCAGCAGGCAGAGAGGAAAAGGCGATGGGAAGAGGAAAAGGCAGGCACTGATGGATCCAACTGAATTTCTGCCACTTTTGATCTTTGGAAATGGGAAAACCCATTCAGGGTCACAGATTTCCAGACCGGGCTATATGCACCATTACTTGTGCCACAAAGCAGAGATGCTTTGCTTGGCCCAAAAAAAGATGTTATTGTGAGTTCTCTGGGGTGCAGGGACTTGATTTCCCAGTTTTCAGTTAATAATTCAATTATTATACATAAATAATAGTAATAATAATCATAACAATACCTGCCTTGCTATTATGTTGTACTCAGCCTTTGTGATGCCTCTCTCACGATAAAATCTGTCTATTAAACACTTTAATTGAAACTCTTAATAAAACAGAGCTATTTTAGCTTGTGCAGTTACATTCACATCATGATCACAAAGCACTTTACAGAAACAAATAGAAGTAACCAGCCTGATTCTTGTGCAGGAGCAAACACCATCATTGTGCATCTCAGTAGTATGTAACAAAGCTGTCATATAGGCAATGAATTGTCCAACATACCGTATTTCGGGGTTTGTGCTGCATCCAAAAAGGTTGGGGTTTGTCCTTAGGCTTGGTCTAAAAATCTCTAATGCCATCCCAAGCGACACAGCAAGCGGGGAGTGGATGGGCTCACCTCCTAGACAAGAAGAGCAGGCTGCAGCCAGGAGGGGTAGGGAACAGTCGCGCCTCATTATCAGGAGCCCTGGTTCAGAAGGAAAGAAGAAAAAAGGTTATAATTTTCCTGGTTTAGGAAAAAAAAAAAAAAAGCCATGGAATTCTTGATGTGCCGTGGTGCTGAGTACTGAGCAGCCACCGTGGGGTCACCGAGAGAGGACAAGGCAAAGCCTGGTAATGCAAGCGCTCACGTTAAATGATGCCTCCCGAGGTATGGAAGGGGTCTCAGGCTTTGGGCCTTGTAATAGGTAGTTCTGGAGCTCAGAGCCGGTGAAGTGCTTTGTTCCCCCTTGTATAATTGATAAATTACCATTGTTAGTACTAAACAATACTACCGAGCACAGAATGGAAACACGCTAATGCTTTATCCATCTTAAGCAATTCTGCTCATGTGCTCATACTGTTCTTAAATGTGCTAGATATTTGTTTGATGAAACAATAAGTTTTAGAAAAGGGAAAAATAAGAACTTTAAAGATAATCAAAACCTTGACTCCGTACTTTACCACAGGCAGCTGTGAATAAGCTTCAGTACTCTTTATTTTTAACATTCCAGATATGTAATTTAATGCAGGTCTAATGACAGTCTCGAACGTACTGCTTTAATCGAAATTGTTCAAGCCCTGTTCTGTGACAAGGGCTCACAAGCTACCAGCAGGGTTGTCCATTTTCCCCGCTTCTGTAAGGAAAAGAAAAGGGAGGGGAGGGGGACACTCTTGAACTTATGTTGCTATTGATGTGTAATATACAATAAAAAAACAGTTAAATTTCAATTACCCACAGGTAATTATAATTTTATTGTTTGACTGTGCCATGGGGATTTTTGTAATTCCCCAGCCTAATAATTTTCTATAATTTTACAGGTTGTCAAATAAACTATTAAAGATTATCTTTGAAAAGGATTCTGCGATTGTAAGGACATATCATACTGTTCCTGTACATTATTAGTAATTAGAGATCCCTGGATAGTGAAATATCCGCACTATATGCTAGCTGCTGGAGACCATATTTTCTCACAGCCTCCTGTAATCTTGAACCAAAGCTTTCAAACTTCTCATCCATTGTAGCCTGAGTCACGTCCAAACTTTTATTAATATTCACTGAGCACTCATTAAGCAATTCTGGTGCGTTCAATACGTTAAATCTCTGCTTCCTGATGGGGAAAAGCAAAGCCTCACAGGTCCATCCCGGTGTAGTGGAAACAAACACAAAAGGACTAATTCTGAGCTCTGTCCCCTGATGGGGATATGGAGAAGCAGCAACGTTTATACCCACACAAAAGACCCGAATCTATCCTGAATGCCTTTTGATAGTCTTGCACAACAAGATAGAATCGTGCTGCCTGGTTTTAGCCTAAAAATATGCGTAGATGCAAATGTGCTGGGGAGCAGCTCTGGATGTCATCAGGGAGGGGGAATGGAATGGGCAGAGCGTCCAGCCGACAAGAAGCAGAAATCTGGGAGTATTCCCCAATCCTCATCAGTGAGTACCCCCCACATTCACTGGGATGGGGATAAGGAAGTCCCCAGGACATGTTCCCCCAATACCCATGTAGCTGGGGAGAGCAGACAGCAACTTGTCCCAGTTTAGCTGGCAAAGCCAAAAGGCAAATGAACCAGCATGTACTGGGTGACAGCTCCCTTCATCCTGTGCAGTGTTGGGTGGGATTGTCAGTGTTAACAGGGATGAGATCCAAAGGAAGACCAGAGGAGGGATGAGCTGAGAAGAAAAGCAGATGCTGAAACATCCCATACAGCACCCAGGCATTGACTGGGAGGGCAGCGAATGTAAAGCCATGGAAGGGGATTAGCAGCTGTAGGGGCTGTTGGTGTCTGCCTGCAGAGCCATCGAAGGCACAGTTCTTAGCTGGTGGCATTCCTTTTTACTGCCCCGGGAGATAGGCATTATTTGTTTTATTAGCCTCTTGGATTGTTATGTGGTGAAGGCTCTGTGCGGAGGGAAACTTCAACACATTAAAGCTTCTTTATAGGCTGAAATCTCCCTGAGGAAAGTGGTTTCAGGACATGAAGATTTTCATGCAGAAAGCTTTATGGATATGTGTTTTTTCCCCAATGGATGCTCCCATCCCTATGGCTGGGTTTTGCACACCCCCAGCCTATTGGGACACCAAGCAAGAGCATCATCTGCTGGCTCTTCCATGAGCTGGACACATCTGCAGGGAGGGTTTCACCTCCCTCCTGGTGCCAAGAAGCCTCTGTGGCAGCTGTGATGCTCAGTGAGGGATCTGGTGAGGGATTCTCCTCACACCAGGGAGTGCTAGGGTGGATTAGGTTGGGTTTATGGCAGTGTTGAGCTGGTGGAGCAGTATGAAGATATGGGAGCACAGGGAAGGATTAAGGCCAATGGACTGCAGCTCTCTGCCTTTCTCTAGAGACAACTTCGATCCAACCAGATGTATTAAACAAATCTGAGTAGTCTGTATAGATACACACACTGAGCTCTCTTTTCCAAGGTCTGCTTGGCTTGCTGTCCTCTGCTCATCCTGCACCTATGGCAAGGTGTGGGAAGAGGGACATGGATAACATGGAGAGCTCCTCAGTAAGTGGCATTCTGTGCTCCTGACTGCCTCTGCCTACTAACCCGTCTCAACTGAGACTGAACCCATTACTCATATGGTTGGCAATTATAATAAATAGGAGAAAATGCAAAGCCCACAGCCAAGGCTAAATGTGTGCCTGGTAACAGACGATGCCATATACAAACACACATCTCCCCTTCCCCTTAACTTCCCGTTTCCTGCTTGACACATTCTTGCTGCAAGTGGAACACGTTCTGACAATTGAATGGTGAAAGCAATTAGAAAGAGAATTAATTGATAAAATTAAAGCCCTGCTTTCCTCGTGTTTGTCATATGACTACAAATATTGTCACTGCCATTAATATTAATTAATATAATTATCAATGTTTCTAATCCCTACACATTTGGTTGGAAAGTTACTCTTAGCTCAAGAATATAATTGTTAAGTCATGGAAATGTTAAGTAGCAGCTAAGCAAGTCCAAGGAATTAATAGCAAACTGTAGTTTATCCAAGGATTAGACTTTTAGCAATACATAATCACCTCTTCATGTGTTCATCCGCATAAAATGCCTTCCATCCCTCACTACACTTCTGCCTACTTGTCCTTGCAGAGCACAGAAAAAAGAAAGAGGAGATGGTAAGTAAATATTCCTTGCAGTTGCACGCTTTCCTTCAAGATAAGTCACTGCGATAAGAGTTACGTGCCCTCAGCTGAAAGCAATGTCAAGGTCAATTATCTCACACTGAAAGCCCTAATGCAAGATACTTTTGTGATCAGAATAATATATGTAACATTGCAAAGCCTTTGTTTTGGCGGTGAGGAAAGCAAATCCCCTCTCTCCAGACTTCCCAACGCCTTGTCTTGCAGTTGCAAATGCCACGGATGATTCCAGTAGTATCAAACACTGGCTGGCTGTGCTGTTGCCATTGGAGCAGGTTTTCCAAGCATGGTGGGCTGACGGATGCTGAGCAGAGCATCCCTGCTACCTGCCCCATTCCTGGATGGACAGTAGCAATTCCTGCCTGGCAATAGCACGTGTGCATCATGGTAGTAGCGCTAGGCAGGGTATTAATCAGCTACTTTGGGAAACAGCCAAAGTGCTTTAAAGGCCTTTGTTGGAAGGTGGAGGGGGTTCTGCTACAAGAGAATAATGTAATCATTTCACTATTAATTTTTAATTGTATGTTGCTATGCATTATTACCAACCTATACTGATTATCCGAAGAGAAATGGTGATGCTATGCAAGCAATATCTGGTAGGAGGACTAGTGGACCGTGCTGTAAAAGGAGTGACAGGGAAAGGCTGTCCTTTAAGTTCATGCAGGCATCTCCTGCCCTCTATTCCTACAAGGTATCCTATTAAATACTTATAAAAAGTATGGGCCAAAGAAGATTCATGGAGAATCCCAGTTTTCCCTGTTTTCAGGTGGTTTTTCTGTACTTGATTTTGCTGGGTTTTGTTTCTTCTGTTTTCTTTAGTGGCCTCCCTTTGTAGTGAAAAGTTAGCTCAGAGAAACATTCTGCAAGGGATCTAAACTCTGAAACGGATGAAATCAGCAGCAAGGCACTCGCTGCTGGGACAATGCACATGGTCTCCTGCAGGTCTGGGGGTTGAGGTTCTAAAGGGTCAGGGTACCACGATGCAGCACCAGCACAACTTGAAATCTCTGCATGACCATCAGGTTCCCCACTCAAGTGCATCGTCTGGGCAAAGTGCAGTTTGTCTTTTTCTTCAGCAATCTCTTTGTTTTCCCATTCATCTACCTGCTGTTTGTATCTGAGGCAAGTTTTGTGCTCTGAGATTAAAGCTTCAGGTGAACCCCCTTTCAGAGAGCATCCTGCCTCAAAAATACTAGTGCACCCCTCAGAAAAAATGCTTAGGCGAATTACTGTACTTCGACAACTGACCCACCAGAGTTGCACCATAATCCGCAGTTCATTGCTAAGGAAACAGCATGCATGCACCAAAGGAAGAAATATGTATATGTGAATTCTTCTCACAAGGAAATCATTATCAAAAGATGCTCAGATTCAGACCGTGATACTGTCAGCTTACTGGTAGAGAACCGATTGTATCACCTGCTTGTGCCCGCTCACAGAGTCTTCATTTCATCTAAGAGAAAGCTAACCATGAGGGGACAGGAAATCTTTAATCTACTTTTCTCTGTTCCTTCAAATATCTGGTTCTTATCAACTTGCATTGAACATGAGCAACGCAAACTCTTAGTGACGTATCCCCTGCTTAACAAAGTAAATGGAATCAAACCACAGTTCTCCAGTGTGAGATGGGTTCATTGCAAGAGCATCTTGCATGGGAACAAGCCCCACGGTAGTTCTCAACAGGCAGCAAGGCTGTAAATGCAGGAAGAAGAAATCAAGTAGCCCAAAACAGAGCAGGTTGAAAAGTCTAATGTTTAGTAATAGAGAAGTAACACCTGAGCAGCACTTTGACACTGACTGAAATGGCAGGAGGAGGCATTAGGAGGGGCCCTTGTTCACCCCAACATTCAAATATTGTCCATTCCAAAGGAAGAAAACTTCTTTTTTCTCCTGAATCCCTAATTTAATCCTGTATATAATTATGCATTTCTATAGAACAATATAAAACCATTTGTTATATTGTGTTATAACACTATTTGTGTTATATAAATGATATTAGAGCATCACCCTATAAGAAATAATTTATACAACTACTTATTAGCATTTTTATCCTTCATTACATAAATCATATGTGAAAAAGATGTATAAATATATAGATATATATTATGTATTTTAATATCTGTTATATAATTAAATATTACATAGTTACACATATATATTATATTTTACTGATATATAATATATATTTATATGTTATAAATATATAATATGTGTTTTACATAAATATCTAGTAATATTTATGTAAAATAATTCTCTTTTTGAACACATACTTGAGATTCCAATAATGTTTCAGACAGGTGATAAAATCTGGTGGTTAACTGAAAAGTTTGCAACAAAACCTCATGATTTTCAGCTGAATTACTTTCAAAATAGATGCTTTCCATGAAGAAGAATGAGACACAATTAATTTTCAGTTAAAAAAGAAAAAAAAAAGGACAAAAAGAGTTCTACTTGAGCACTTCCCAATTGCAGTCTGAGCCCTGGCATCAGCCCATGATCATCAGTGAGAGATATGCCTTTGCCGTGCACAGCCCCAGTGCTGCAGTATTGCCGGGACCGGCTCAGGAAAGCACTGAAACATTCACATTGAGTCCAATAAGCACTTTTCCAAACAGTGGTTCTTTCCTGAACTGGGGCCAGCACAGGTCAAGTAAAGGGAAAACCACAAATGCAGACAATAAAGCAACTTGCCATCATCCCG